CACACACACACACACTTTTTTCACGTCATGTCGCCTGCCTGGATCTGTTATTATCTCACTCTGAAGCACGGAGGAGTGTCGGAGGTAAGCTCGTTTCAACTGATTTTACGACGCGGTTTCATTTCCGGACTAAGGCATTTTGTGCCGATATTTCAGTTAAAATACATAAGTAAAAATATTTATCCGAGTATAATACTACCCCCCAACTTTATGGATGATTTTATGGATTAAATTTTACGTATTATACTTGAATAAATACGGTAAGAACTATTAGAGGTGAAGATGTCAGGACTAAGGATAAACTAAAGCTTGAAAGTAAAAAGTGACAGAAAGCCGAGGCATTTCTCATTTTGCTATAAAGAATTATGATGAGGGGCTCAGCTGGAGAACCGTTTCCTTTCTCACTCAGCATCCACCTTCATTTTAAACCAGCTTTTTCATTCTCTTTATCCCTCCACTCGAACCTCTTCACCTTCCTCTCAGCCACTGAGACCCTCACCGACAACACATCTGAAGCCCCCCTGTCATCTGTCAGCCGATGCCAGGACACTTCACTGTTTTCATTAACCTTCAAGTCGAGCAGGAAAACAAAAACAGACATATCAATGTAGATGTCAACACACGAAGCAGTCTCCACCCATCTGAGGTGAAATAAATCTATACCAAACATTTTAATTTGAATTTTTCTGACAAATTATGTTGACCGTAAACTTTTTGTCATCCAGTTTTGAATTCAGCTTTCATAAACTGGAAGTTCTATTATGACAGCAAGAAAACCAGCTGTCCTCTGCTTTGTGTTATTGATTATAGGTGACTGACAGCTATTGAAGTTTGCCTGCTGGCTACTGAGCTGTTCTTCCAATGAGGCCCATTAGAGAATTACACCAACATGGATCTTCAATCACAGGATAAATACCGAGACAGCACATTCCTCTACAAGTCAGCACATAGAAAAAATAAAAAAAATACTGAAATCAGTTTTACTCAAGTGTGAAACTTAATTAAACGTACATTAAAGCTGCGACAATAAGCAACAAAATAAGGTGTAAAAGTTCTTCCTATTTTCCAGATGCATCCCTGTTGATTTTCTAGATGAGAATAACTCATAAGCTCCAGTTTGCTTTAAATAAATAACAGAAATTAGCAGCTGCAGCTTGTAGTGATGGTGCTGTTACAATTCACCTGTACAGCGGGTAAAATAAGTATTGAACACGTCACCATTTTTCTCAGTAAATATATTACTAGAGGTGCTAATGACGTGAAATTGTCACCAGATGTCGGTAACAACCCAAGTGATCCATACATACAAAGAAATCAAACCATAAATGTCCAGAAATGAAGTTATTTGTAATAATGTGGAAT